CCGCAGCCAATTTATTTGCAAATGTCTTTATTTATTAGATTTTAAATTTTAGTATGAACAGAATACGGTTGATTGTGAATGCACACGTATGTTTGTATTACAGTATTTTGAATTTAATTCGTTGTGCGTTTCGGATGCAAATGCTGCTGATGAGAGTTGATTATGTAAATGAGAACAGACTAGCGCTTTGTGTGCGACTTTTCGAGATGTGCGTATTGTTTTGTAGGTACTGTGAAAGGTAGCTCACGTTTTGTTTATGCAAATTTCATCAATCACCTATATTTTGGCACGTTAATAATTTCAACTACATACTGTATTTACTTGGATTTGTTTTTTAGGCTACTTTCAAATAAACGTAGGTCTTAATTCGTCTGTTTTTTGTAGTTATGTTACGCGATTGTGTCACTAATTCTGAATCGATTAAGATAATTTGCAATGGGTTGGTTTTATCCTGCGTTAGTTCAATATAAAGTCTGTGACGACTGAAGCTGCCGTTTTTGTTTATCGTTGTAAATATTTGTTTGTTACCAACCAAAATCTACGTTAGCATAGACACACGATTCTGTGTTTCAAATTCAATTTTTTCAGTAGAATGTGTTTACAATAGGTATTGTATCTTATCTATGCTAATTTTATAAAGAGAAAATAATTGTTTTTTTTTTTATTATTATTTTTATTAGCAATGTGTAAATACAAACTTAATCGATTTTTAATATTACAATACTGCATCGGCCAGCAACTGAGACATTGATGGACGAACGTACAAATGTGCGCCGAGGTGCATATATTATCGACCATCACTGAATAATATAGAAACAATGCGTGGAAATCAAAAACACAATTTTACTTTTTAAGTTCAATGACGAATAACGAACATTAATAATTTTACGCGCCATAATGTTCCTTTGTTTTTTTTTTTCAATAAATAGCTTTTTATTTGCAAACCAGTTCGAAATTTAAATAAAACCTTGTATTAGTTACATCCTTGGTAGCCATGTTTCGAAGTAAAAGGTCATTCCATTTTTAAATTACAGGACAGATATGAGTTTACATAGTAATTTATCTGGCCGCAAAATACGACAGATATGGATTTTCATACAACTTTTGCCGGGTTAGCAATCTTGGCCAGTACGGCAATTTTGATTTATCTCGAAGAAAATTGTCAAAATAATGCTCACATTTCCAAGCATGTTTAAGAAAAATTCTTTTACATATTACCTACCATATATTATCAAAGAATAATATAGACTACCCTATTACTTAAAAAATAAATAGAGATATCTATAAATATAATATTGTATTATATTATTGTATTATATTATATTATTGTATTATTTCAGCCGTTAACTGTCCACTGCTGGACATAAGTCTTCCCCATAAGGGAGTTTTGCCAGTAGTTGCCACGCTTGACAGGCGGGTTAGCAACTGTAATTAGGCTTTTAAAGATGTTTTAAGAGAGACACTGCCCGTCTCTCGCCTTGCCTTAGTCGCCTCTTACGGAATAGGGGGTAGCCCATTCTATGGAGTGGCACACATGGCGGCTATAAATTTAATTGAAAGTAGATGTCAAAAATTGGTCTATTAAAGCTAATACGACTATAAAATACTAATAATTTTTTTTCTATCTAAATACGAAACCATAGTCGGATCGTTAGTCGTTCATAAGTATGGTCTGGGTTCGTCCCCGAAACAGAAATTTGATGTTAAAATTACATAATACATGCCGTTTAAAATTATTAAAAATGTTAAAATATCATTCCTCTGGACTATTAGGATAGAATTTATGATAAACGAAATGTTAAGCTCCATTTACTGGGTCGATTTTGATACAAACAAAAACACGAAATTGAGCCCGAAAATTCGAAATTTCATTTCATGGTAGACCACCTGATTACGATTAAAGTACCTTTTTTGCGGAACAATATATATGTACATATATATAGATATAGCATCGAACAAGTTCTATAGTGTTGAGTAGAATAACATTCGATAATTGAAAATTGAAAAATTAACGAGTGTGCACGGCACGCGATGTCACGGCGCGTGACAGCGAAATGTCGCTGACATGAGGTGTCAAGTTAAATGTCACGGTGCGACGGGTGACAAGCAAATGCCAGTGAAACACGGAGCGCGTCGAGTGGGGCTTTCACCACGAGGCATATGAGATCGATATGGTCGTCTCCCAATTTAACAGGTCATATTAGGGCTTCCTCTATTTATTTTTTTATATCAGAGGGAGACTGTATGTAAAAAAGTCGATTGCTTGGGTACCTCTGTCTCATTCGTGTTTCAACCGTGAAGTAGTTGTGTTTGCATGGCTGTGTTTCCGTTTTAAGGGTGGGATATGGCGTGAATTTACTAGGTACTAAAGGAATAACATCTGAGTCCTCAGGAATGGCAACGCATGGGGGGTATCATGGGCGAAACTGTATACTCTGTTATGTCCATGGTATTGCTCATGTCTATAGGCGACGGTTACCACTTTCCATCAGGTGGCCGTCCGCTTGTTTGCCATTCTAAGTTGTATAAAAAAAATGTCTGGTTTGTACCTCTACAATTCTTTACAGCAGCGTCTCTCGTTAAAACATCACAAATAAACTAACAATCCCTTTCCCCCCGATATGAACAGTATTATGAACATAACAGAGTATATCGTGTCGCCATTCCAGAGGAGCAAGGTGTTATGCCCCTTATTATGTATTGTTATGTACTGTATCTAAAGTCACATTGTCATTAAAAAGTCCGTACATGATCTACTAACACCGTGCACATTTGTTATGCAAGTAAGCATTTAATATATAATAGGCTTTGTTCAATAAGTGTTTTAATAATTTTAAATTTATTAAAAGGTAAACTCAGAACATCCTTTGATAACTTATTATAACATTTAATGGAAATATTAAAACCAGGAATGTTAATGAAATGTAGTTTGTAAATATCCACAAACAAAACCATGATATACCTGGTTTAATATTTAGAAGAATTGTTAAATAATGGGGAAGAAATTTTCACGAGTAAGTCAGTTCCTAAGTAATGACCTTAAAGGTATTACAGACATAGATTTAGTATGAGTATAACGTACACAATACCTATATAAGTTCTGAAAGTGGGGGGAAAAACGGATTGCTAGTGATGGATCTAAAACTACCATTATTAGCAATACCCTATCAGGTCGACCTTCAAGGGGAACCCTTTTGGAAACCATCATGATTAATTGTTCTTGAATTCATCGTGATGAGCTAACTAACTTGCTTTCATCTTAAACTGTCATCTCTCTGGTGACCTGCCAGCATATACCGATAGTGCAGGTAAGGTTACCATTCCATTATCACCTATTAAAAAAAGACATACTGAAAGTTCAGAGCGGAAGGGATTCTTAATAAAATATATATAATGGGGATTAAGGGCCCCATTGCTAGCAACTTACTAGGTCGACCTCCTTGTGACTCTCCTAGAAACGATAGTAGTTTAGTCTTGATAAATTTGTCATGATAGGCCGACTGACCTAACTTCATCCTCACCTATCACCGATAACTGGTGCCCCGCCAGCGTATGTACCTATACCGATATTGCAAATAGGATTTTCATTCCATTTTCATCTCATAAAAATAACTGGAAATACAATACACGCACTTCCTTGTTTTGCTGTAATATATCTGTAATATTTCTCTTTTATATTACCAATTTATGTATTTCAAATGTAAGGTTACAGAAGTCAGTTGCTGCAAGTTACAGGCGATTCAGCGTTCCTAAACTAGTGATTTTTCAAATAGGTAGCCAATTTATTTTTTGTACACATCAAGAAGATTTAACATAGGTATAGATTCCCTACGATAAAATGGCACGTCCATCCAAAATCCAAAGAATTAAAAATTATGTTCACAAGATTTCGACCAAAGTATGTAATACTCCTCTGGTCGGAACATTTAAGAAAAAAAAAACATAGAAAATGTTTTCAAAACAGATTACCACGTTTTATATGGTCCAACACATTGAAGAAAAAGTTTAATATAATACAGTCATATCTAACGTAGATAATTACAATTTAATAGCGGTTTGGCCTTATCAAAAAGGGATCTTTCTTTATCAATTATAAAATATTTGAAAGAAAATTATAAGTATATAGGCCTAGTAGTGTAAAATGGCGACGAGATTTGGACTTATATTTGTCTTATTATACTTTATGGACTTTACTTTTCAGTTGTTAATTATACAATAAACTGCTTAAATGATGGTAGGTAGCGAGTACTATTTTCTTGTTTTTTTTCATACTACTGAATAAGTACAAGGCTTGTCTGACGTAAAGTAATTATTTACAGGCGGTTATAGTCCTAATATATGAAGAAACCTCAAGCTGTAGTCTTTTAAGAAAATCTCTGTGAGGAGCTCTTGCCATAACTAGAGCGATCTTGAGAGAAATTTCCTATTAAATTGGCTATCTGCGAGTATTTAGATCCTAGTGTTATAGGCATGAACTCTTTAGCTCCTCCATGAGCTGTTTTCCGCTCTGTGCCTACATAAATCATTGTATGTTAAACTAGGCTACCTATAACATCACCGTGCACTTACTAGATTTCATTCAAATCCATTCAGCCGTTCTAGTATAGATTATCAAACAAACTGCTTTATAAACCTTCAGGTTTATAAATATACTTACCTATAATAGTAGGAGTCGTACAATTTAAGAGAAAAAAAAAAGATAGAAATAATAGTTTTAAAACATTTTATTATACGTTTTGTTTGGCAAAAGGAAGAATAACATGCTTCATTAATATAATACAGATTTATATCTAGTTTATAATAGATAATTACAATTTAATACTTTTTGGTTTATAAAAAGGGACGCCGGAAAATTTACATTTACAATTATAAAATATTTTAGCACCAAAATAGTAAGAGATATGGTTTAATATTAATAATGATTTTCATATATATTATTATTACGATAGATATTTCAATATACTTTATGTTGAATAATTTGTTTATTTTTGTAATAAAAAACTAAAACATTGGTACCTATATATTCTGTAAGTACACTCTGGAGTGCATATATGTATTGAAACAAATAGTATTATGAAAAAATTCAGATTCAAAGCGGAGAAAATTATATTTACACTTATTTGTAATTCTCAAATCAATACTTGAGAATATCTTATACTATAAGCAACTGTTGAACAATTTAGCCATAATTTTGTACATTATTTTAATATTTACATAGTTATTGCACCGTTATTACTATGGAATGTTGAACTTTACATAATAATTTACTAATACAAACACTGAAAACTATTTATATTTTCTTATGTGAAGAACGTTCAACTAAATATTACTATATGTACATAGGACGCAGTGTTTTGTTGTAGTAAATTAAAATATTTGTCTAATAAATACGTACGAGCACACTATACCAGCGAATAATTGGAGCTATGTAGTTACGCAGGAAACAGTCATTACTTGGGTTAAATGTTGCATTTCTGTACATCTTATACCGAATTTATCATGAGGAGTGCTCTGAGGAATTGTTTGGATTTATACCTATTGCTGATTTTCACCACCGTATAACCCGTCACAAACTAAAGTTTCATCTTTAACATTTGGAATAGTGGCGGTCTTCGACCGTGCGTTTTTCAAGGCACTTTCTTCCACGCACAACCACTCTTTGGAATCAACTTCCAGCAGCAGTACTTTCGAACCGATACGACATCGTAACCAAGAAAAAAGCATTTTCGTTTTTAAAAGGCTGGCAGCACACCTGCAATGCCTTTTGTGTTGTAGGTGATCATTGGCGACGATAGTCACTTACTTAGGTACTTAGGTGAGCTACATGTTCGTTGGCCTTTATGTTATTAAAAAATGTAAGCAAGAAACAACTTTTTTCTGAATAACTAGCTCCAATTAAAATGAAATTCTATTCATAAATAATAACTATTAGGTGGAATAAATCACGTTTAATCAATAGTTTATATTTATTTAATAATAATCGATCGTCAATTAATAGAGTTGGATAGATTTCTACAAATTACAAAAAAAAAAAAATTATAACTAACTCGACTCTAATTCAGACGTCACTATCTAAATAACATTACACGAAATGCATACACGGCGCCAATCTTAAAGTTTCTATGAGAATTAAAAGGTACTGGCGTGTAACAAAGTAACTAGTTACATACTATTTGGTTGTTTTATATAACATCACAAATGCATTACGAGATTCGACTTAGTTCAGTCACGATTAGTCTATATAGGTCACGAAGAGTCGTGAATCCGTCTACCGTTTTGTCTCCTAGAATTAATGTGAGACTCATAATGAATGCTTCTTTTAGTTCTTGAGAAAAATGCCGCGTTGCACCCATTCAGTGTACACCGGTACAAAGATTGCGAGTGGACGGTTTCGCAATGAATCTTCAAACTGGATAAATCTTTAAAACACTCTCGGCAACCTCTACACGGATAACTTCCATCTTTATTCGGCCTTGGTGCCTCATCCTCTACGCAGTAACTTAGTTTTCTCGTTGACGAAGGAGAATAATTTTGATTATGATACCCAAAAGCGCTTAAATTTGGAGGAAAGAAACCCAGAGGTATTGGTGGAAAGTTTGGTAACATGCTAAAAGGTGTAAAAAGAAAAGGATGCTGCGCAAACATATCTCTGTTAGCCAAGTAAGCATCAGGTAATTGTAAAGGTGGATACGGAGGACTAAAAGGTATATGATGATTAAGTTGATTTTTTAGTTTATCGGACTCTTTTGCTCCGTAATACTTATGCGATTCAATGTACGGGATTGCACGTTCATCTTCATTATACCTGGCGATCAAATCCATTTGCTCACGAGCTTTCTCCATTATTCTTAATGGAGTATCGTCATGAATTCTCATTTCTTCTGATGACATTATCTTCCTGTGTAGACTATCATTTGCGCTATGACGATCTCTACCTCGTTTTGAGGGAAAAGCAGCTCTGCAGCCTTCAATATTACATTTATACATAAGTTTTAAATGCGCATTTTGGTAATGTGTTTTTAATATATATATATTTTGAAATATTCTGCCACAGACAGTACATTTCCGTGGATTTTCGTGATCCATTGGGATATCAGTTGAGCTAATAAAGAACCCATTATCCAAATGCCCATATATTTGACCTTGAGAATCTTCTGACGTGTAATCAAAACTTGATACTGATGAAGTTGGAGATCTGTCAGAATAATCAACAGAATCATTTATAGATAAGTTATAAGGTCCTAAAGGATGTGAATCAGGTTTTCTAGCGATATTCGGAAAGTCACCCCTTGATAAACTTTCTAATCGCTTCAATGCATTTTCAGAGGAGTATTGTTCATCGTTTGATTTCTTTTCTTCGTGTTGTTTATAAATATCAGAATTTTCATTTGGTTCTTGTTTCACTCGTAAGTCTTGTGGATTGTATCTTGGCTCTGTTTCATCTTTTATTTCTGAGAATTCTTGCTTCACTTTTATTTCACTACATTTATCTTGTGAATGCTTTTCCGTGTTTTCATTTATTATACAATTTTCAAGTTTAACTCTTTTAATGTCTGCTAAATTTTCATTTGCTTTATCGTTGTGTTCCTTTAGTTCCTCGTTAGTAGTGTCCTCTGGAACATTTTGAAGTCGAGTGGGATTTAAATTCTTACGTTTTCGTTTCATAATTTCTGGACTAGCTGTTTCTTTCCTATTATCTGTACATTCATTGTTATCACTAACACTTCTTTGATCATAGTCTGTCTCAGAATCCTCTACAGAGCCATTTGATTTATTGAGATTTGAAGAATAATCACTAGTATCAATATGGTCAGGATCTTCATCATCATCATCTCCAGTTACGACAACAATTCCATCATCTTCATCGGATTCAGTTTGACCGTCTTGGTCCTTATTCTCTCCTGTATCTGACGTTTGATTCATTGTATGTGTACGGTCAGTCGATGGCGAAAAATTAATTCCCAAATTATTTTTGTACTCTAAAGATACATTGGGAGCAAATTGTCTTACATTATGAGGTGCATTTAAAAGTGGATATGATCCAAATGGATGCATCGGATTCATAACTGGTGGTATACCTAGTCTAGTGCCATGTGGTGAAAGAAGCACTGAATGAACTTGCGCACTTCTTCCGTCATGCGGAGAAATCTTTCTTCTTAAGTGTGGAGAATGCAGTTTCGGATTAGGATTAGCGCTATGTCGATTTCTAGATCTTCTAGAACTAAACATCATACTACAGCCTTCTACAGTGCATTTATGCATTTCTCGAAGGTGAACTGCTGAAAAATGTATTTTCAAAGCACCTTTATCACAGAAAGTTTTCAAACATACATTACATTGAACTCTCTTCTTACCGGTAGCGGGATTTATGAAATGAGTGCCTAAGTTTAGAGGTATTTGCGATGTACCCCATTGTCTTTTGGGTGGGCTTATACATTTACCTAGTAACAGGTTTCGTGAATTTTGGGCAGTAGCAGTTTCACTATATGAATCTTTAGTTAAATTAAGCGCATTTTCTTCATTTGGTTTTAAGTTCTCTGTTCTAATGTTATTAGAGTTTATCGAATGATTGTTTTCAAGATTTTCCACCTGTTTTCCTGACATTTGAGGTAATAACGCTTGCAATGATGCTAATCCCATTGGATTTTGACTTAAAGCAGCTACCATAGCGGCGGGGTGGTTAAAGGTAGAAGGCATTGATATCGGCGGTATTGGTAGATTTGTCGGTAGAGAAAAATTAAAAAATTGACTGCGCATTAAATCCATAGTAACTTTTTCCGTTGAGCTCATTTCGTAACTACTTTTTCTAATATCTTCTTTTCCAATATCTTCTGTAGTTTTATTTTTACGAAAATCAAATGGTTGCATGTTTTGAAGATGACTTAATGGGGATGAGTGTACAGGACTAGTGGTCGAAAGAGGGCTGGATGAGGTAGATAGGTGAACGCTACGACTGGGTGATGCTTCGGCTGAAGACATTTTATCTTGTGGTGACTGTCTATGTATAGGTGATTTATTTGTAGGTGACATAACTTCCTTCTTGCTTTCGACTTTATCTTCTTCGACAGGACTTTTACTATCTTTATCTTGAATTAATTTTAAATACTCAAAATGTTGTTTTGCTTCCATCATGTGCTGGATATATTTTAATGATTCTTCATTACGAAGATCTCTGCCCGTTTGTTCCATCAGTTTTCTGAATTCGGCATCTAATTTTAATTGGTCTAGTGCTCGAGTGTCTGAAGTTTCAGACTTTTTCTCTGATCTACTGTTTTCGTAATCTTGTCTGGCATCAGAGGGTGAAGGTAATCCGTTCTTTTTGTAGATTGGAAGAAGAGATGTTTTGTGTAATGCCCTCGCTTCCTGAAGCTTGAGAATTTGCTGGAGCGCCATGTTGTGCTCTGGCCCCCGCCCATTCCATCTATCTGCACTACTCGTATGTGATTCCTGTAACAAAAAAAAAAAAAAAACAATCAATAATGTATTTATAGTTAAACAATTAAGTATTGTTACTAATATTGAAAATGTTAATATGAAATTGTTTGTTATCTCTTGGCCCCTTAACGGCTTTAGCATTTACTATTAAATATGGTATACACATACTCTAAGAAATGTAAAATGATATAAGTTATTTATTAACTCTGTCAAAGCACCTATTTCGGTTACGTGCATAAAACTAATATAGACTTATTTATAAATGTTTGTAAATAAAGTTTTTTTACGAAAGCATTATTTCATCAATCTATTAAACTTTAGTAATTTCGCAATTCTGGAGTATTTCCACTTAGGCAGACTATTCATCAAATAATATATAATAAAAGCCAGATACAGTCACAAATTATCATGAATGAATACGGTTAATTCTAAATGATTATCAAGTCTAAGCAAACCTAAACACTGGTTATACAAACGGCTCTTCAAAATAACTATCAGACCAACACAAAACCACACCTTGCGTTTTCAAAGGCTAATATCAAATTAATTCCGAGAACTGAGAGCAATTGGGTAAAATTGTGTAAAATGACGGTTTCGAGTCGACTTGAGAATAGAAAAGTGGTTTGTGTCGCGTGTTTGGAACGATTTAATCCGAAAACTAAATTACTATTCATTTGGTAAGCATTCGAGCCGGCTCGCGTTGTCAAAGTTAAAACTCGGTTTAAATCGTCATAAATTTATTTTAATTTCAACCACAAGGATGGGTCGTTTCAAATTAGAGACAACATCAAATATTATCAGCTGTGTTTTGATGTCATTATAGAAGTTTTATCCTTTTAGAATATTTTTATAATTAGAGCATTTAAACTGGGTCTATAACGACCCACTTTATATTGTTTTTACATTGTAGGAAATAATTTAAGAGACCTCTTTTCCTTTTTCACTTTTAGTTGGTACTAAACGCAAACTGTACAAACGATAATTTAAGATTTTGTTTCACAAAAAACACTGATTATTTTGATATAGAAACTCAACTACTGGACTGATTTTGGAATAATTTATAGGTACAGAGAATTTATTCATAATTTACAAAATTACACATCCAGTTTCAGTTTATTATGTCATTCCCATTATATGGGATCAATCTGAAAATATAACCTTTAATTGGGTACGCACCGCGGCATCAGACAGCTCAAAAATCCCCGAAATGAAATACCACTTACGAAATAATGAGTACAATGTAAACAAAAAATGTTGTTATATTAAGAAACATTTTAAATGTACAATGCTAGAACCTGACTTCAAAGGAATTAAATTATTGCGTGTTTTAAAAAACAGCGCCATCTAGTATTAACGTTAGAATTAAAAGAACTACAATATTTGTATCTCCGCGCAAATTATTGCGTAAACCTAATTAAACCTTTTGTAATGTACAAATATAAATATATAAACAAGCATATAAACAATAAATATATAAATACGATAGTGTCGCTCTCAACAACCTTTCAGATAAAAAAAAATCCAAATCGGTGTGTAAATGACCAGTGAGATGAGTTCTGAGGTAATAATTATAAAAAAAAAAACTTAATTTAAATTTTTTTTTCTTTTTTTAAGTCAATTGAAAAAAAGAAAATTGAACAAAACAAATTAAATTTATTCAGCACATATAAAAATACGTAAAATAATTATTAAACAGGTCATGTGTTATTATCGTCGTGTTTAGCTTATTTGATGCTATCTACAGTAATTTATTTATTCAATAATGTATAAAAGAAAGAAAATAAACTTTTTTTTGTTAAATTTTGAATCTTAACTAATTGTCACAAAATTTGATATTGTAGTATATGTTCAGGATGGCGAAGGACATAGGATATTGTTCATCACGGTCAGACAATACATTCGGGTTATGCTGACAAAGCATTGTAGAAAAACTTTTAATTTTATAACTAGCAATTTCCATAATTGTTTCTTAGATGGCGGTTGTTTTAGGACTTAATTGATTGATGTTAATGATATACATATGCCTAACTAGGGTACCACCATCATTACATCAGCCCTTAACTGTCCACTGCTGAACATATGCCTCCCCCTTGGTGAGTTTTGCCAGTAGTTACCACCGCAGTTAGGCTTTAGAGGTGTTTTAAGAGGGACACTGCTGCCCATCTTTCGCCTTCCCTTAGTCGCCTGTTACACCCACGGGAAAGGAAGGGGTGGCCTATTCTATTCTGGGACCACACGAGGCAATTACTGGCATAGGCTCCTTTATGGGGGAGGCCTATATTAAGCAGTGAAGTTTGTTTTATAAACATATGATTATAGTAAAGATATTATGATAGTGTTTTACTAAGGTGAAACCGGTTAGGCAATAAAAATATATTATATTATAGATAAATAAAAATCTGTGGAAGTAGTACAAGTGTGTTCTGACTTATAAAGATAAATTCCAAACTCCACCCAGCGTCAGCAATGTGGAGCATCAACGCATATGCATATTTAATTACGGCTTATTTTAGCCATTTATAGTTGTTTCACAAGTCGTGCAACTGTTCCTATATTCCGCGCTTTAAAAACATTTATCACTTTATTATAGCGTATAAGCGACTAACAGCTGTGTATCATTACCGTTTCCAAGGAAAATTAAATTGTCCCTGCCCCAAACGGCAATTTTACCCCAAACGACAATTACCAGAAAAAGGATCCGTTTTCTAATGCCACAAAACGGATAAACGTCGGATAATAAAGTGTCGTTTAAGAAAAATATACGTCTGCAATCGCTCGACTGGGCCAAATTACAGGGTGTTACGAAAGCAATTTCGACCGTAAGTGCAAGTGGATTTATCCCCGCTCTGTGACGGTTTTTATCCGATGCTCTGATTATAGCGTCATTACCCGACTTACAAAGGAAGAGGTAATGTTTTAGGAAGATCCATGCCCAACAGTGGGACGTTATCGAATTATTATGGTAGTGATGTGATGGGTGGTAGATAGAAATGGGACATCGTTTTGGTAACTAGATGAGTGTTGAAGATGATAAGAAAAAAAAAAATTGGTTTCCGTGAACTGTCAAAATAAAAGAAAACATATTTATTTATTTTTTTAATAGAGTTTTAGTATAAATTTATAGATAAATAAAGCCAGAATGTTTGTATTAAGTTATTATTTTAATGAGAAAGAAATATTCTCAAATTTATTTTTATTAAAGATGAAAAAAAAAACTTAAACATAATACATCTTTTTTTAAATAAATTTTGCTAAAATATACCTTACTTTAGAAAATTTTATAGTCTACTTTCTTTTGGACTCGTCACAACCATTTACTTGTTTTTACGACTGACGAGTAAGTATATCTACCTTTATACATTGTATACGATGGAATTTATAACAAACTGAGGCACATGTCGATTAATAGCGTCTATCAAATTACAGATGGGAGAGCAACTTTTAATTTAGTTTTAAATTAGCCAATAAATCGATTGGGTGGGACTTTTGTTATGCTCGCGTATAGCCCTTTACATTGTGACTGAATTAAATTTTTCCGAGCTCTCATTACCTTGTGGCGACGGGCCGTTTAAGGATCATAACCCGCCATTAACCAATCACATCATTACTGGACGTAAATTCATATACTTTAATTAAATTATATATTTTGTGATACGGGTCGTTTAAAAGGTGTTTCGAAATGTCGTATGAAATGTTTTGCCGCTTATTTTAATGATATTCGTTTTGTTAACAGCTCAGGTATCATCGTGTTAGCCTTTAACTGTCCATTGTTGAACATAAACCTCCCCCTTGGAGGGATTTGTCAGTAGTTGCCACGATTGGCAGGCCACATTGGATTGGCAACCACATTTTTAAAACCTAAAAAAATGTTTTAAGTGGAACGCTGCTGCCCATCCCTCGGCCTTCCTTAGACGCCTCTTACGACACCTGCGGGAAAGGAAAAGATGGTTTCTATTCTATGCCCGGACCATACGGCTAAACTCAGGTATAATTATGGATTATAAAGAACTTTAATAGGAAGACTGGCATTAGTTGTATTTTACTGGTACAGAGAGAACTGTGTATATTGTGTGCCATCTGGTCCTGGCATAAAATGGGCCAACTTTTCCTTTCCCGTGGGTATCGTTAGTGGCGACTAAGGGAACTAATTGATCGATTGATGGGCAACTTGTAAAAACTCTATAGTCATTTTTATTAATGTTCTATAATCAAAAAATATCAAATACAAAAATATAACAATATAATAATTTATCTGACAGTTTTCTATTCTCTTCAAAACTTCACAAAATACAGACATTTTATTATTTATCGAACTGAGCTTATTATTTTCGACACAGCTGCGTCCATCTTAAAACATCGAAGTCTAACTGCGGTTCCCAACTCCCTTCCCAAGCTAAGCGTGGCAACTACTAGCAAAACCTCCTAATAAATGAATGATGTCCAGCTGTGGATAGTTAAGAGCTGATATAAAATTATTTAAAACTAGCTGATGCCCGCAACTTTGTCCGCGTGGTATTTGTTATTCCTGTTTAGTATATATCGATATATATAACTACCTATTTATTATGTCTGGAAATACTGGGTCAAAATTAACAAATCACGTGTCGTTTTCACTCTTTACCTTAGGTCAAAATGACTATACTTAAGTAGGTTGTGTACTAAGCTACGAATATATAAGTTACTGTAGTTTTTTAACTATCCCACGGGAACTCTTTAATTTTCTGTAAATAAAAGTGTTGACCGGGGATGTAAGGTACCACCATGCAAAACTGCATTTAAATCGGTCCAACACTTTCGAAGATTAGCCCGTACAAACAGACAAGTAAACAAAGAAACAGAAAAGATGAAAAACATCTGAACGTGTTCTATTTCACATCTTACAGCCCTCTGAGCCAGTTTTTAGTTTTTTTTTTTCTTTGCATAGACATTCTACCTTTATAGTTTTATTATATATGTATATAAATAATGCCGTTTTGGAAGTATTCGGATTATACTGTAAACGTAAACGGTTA